TACTACAAAATGGCGTAGAATAGTGCATAAGTATGCGATTTGGGACGCAGCTACTACTTACACTATTTATACTACAAAATGGCGTAGAATAGTGCATAAGTATGCGATTTGGGACGCAGCTCTAATCTCAGAAATCCTCGAACAGCTTCAGAAATCTCAGGATCCGCACAGAAATATTCTACAAAGTCGCCCCGTCTCTCAACCAACAGATTGCGATGAGTTTGATTGTGTTTACAAGCACTTATTCAGTCGTCTCTCAACGGGTCTTACATTTCCGCAAGAAGTGACGTCAGTCACATGACCTTTCCTAATGCCCTGCTTTAAAAATCGACAATAATCTCATATTTAGCGTAAATAATAATAAATATGATCCTCAGAAAATAAACCAATAATTGTTCTGAAAGCAGTTTATGTTGCCTGTAGATTTCACGAATGGAGAATAATATCATCATCGTCCACTTCTTCATTATGGTACATTTATAGATGAGCTCGTTTGTTTGCTGTTGTTTTAAAAACTTTATTCACTTGAATTTCTGCGAGACTTTGGATAAATGTAAAGATTTCTCTCCTACTAATAAAGGTGATGACGCAAGGAAATTTTACTGAAAGCTGATTGGCCTCTTGAAAATATTTGGTCATACTGTATATAGTTATTTAATTTTATAACAAGAGCTTTTTAATTAAAACAAGTTTATTGTATCATATTTTGTCTTTTTTGACGCATTTTAACCAGAACTAATAATTGTAGGTGCACTAAGCAGGCAGGGGCTGTTCAGGTGGTTCAAACGACGGCCAAAATGTCCAGAATTTGTTCTTTAATTATTTTCTGTAATTTTTTTTAAATTATTGTTTAGTAATAAATGCATTTTTAAATAAATATGGTCAGTAGTTTGAATCCCATGGAGCCTCAAAGCCACATTGATGTGACGCGAGTCACGTGACATAACCGAGCGGTAACTTTAACTGAAATTTGAATCTTTGATGCGGCATCCATTGTGAATAACGTTATTATGAGTCGAAAAGAGCAAGAGAGACGAAGAGAAAGCAGGCAGCAGCGTCATTGTCGCAGAATATTGAACATATGTTCAAAAAGACTGGCAAACAGGGTAAGGCTGGCTGACGTTACTTCCTAACAGATCTGTCCCGTTCAGGTTCTAGGCTGGCTGCATTAGCCGGGGCGTCCTGTATATTTGCCGTTATTGATATGTCTCATACATGACCTCACTTTCCCTATTTATTTTTTGACTGCTGTGCCATTACAATTTTGGAAAATAACTGTCCGATAAAGGCTTTACTACCAAGCGAAGTCCTCTGCTGTCAACTGTCACAGCAAAAAGCGCTGATCCCGTCCCGTCCATGTTATGAGGCTGTTTACACCTGCTCACTTCATTCGCTTTATTCTGATCTGATATTAATCCAATCGCTCAAACCACTTCAGATTGCGGTCTGGGACACACTCCAGACGAAACTGGACAGGTCTAATTAATGTATTCTTTTACACAAAATGAATTTAAATGAAATAAATGATGACCTGGAGAAAATCTGACCTGCGCCAGTTTAGAGAGACAGCTGTAGGTGCGCTTTTACAGCCAAACACACGTAAAGTGCCAAATAAATCAAGACACATTTACCATAAGCATAAAACATGTGTTCTGACTTTCCTTCATCTGCCAAAAAAGTCAACTAGTCATGTTCAACTACACGGTCTTTAGGCTAATATGAAGCATTTTCTCTTCATTCATCATTTTTACTTTTATTTCTTTAAGTATTTATTTCATTATATTATTATTTCATTACATTAAATTCGTTTTATTTTTATACAGAAATTATCAAATTAAAATGTTCAATTAATAATAAATGGCAGCTGTTGTTAAACACAAAACGATGAATAAAAAGTGTCCAGCACCAAAAGCAGTCCATAAATCAACACGTTTTAAATGGAGTTTTTATAATGAGTCAAATCCACTGATAATGATCATATTTTAGCGATAATGTAATGATCGTCATTATCAGTGAATTTGACTTATTTACAAGAGAGGCATTAAAAGGGAAGGACATTATTATAATTATTACTGTTGTTATTGTTTTAATATTCACATGGCCAATTTCTAGTGAGGTTATTTGTGCGGTTCGGTTTGTTATTTGCCTAATAAATCATAAAACATTTTGTCTTTCTCTTGTGGACTAATAATTTATAGACTATTTTAGCCCAACCTTTCATATTTCTTATTCAACCTTTTACATGTGAAGCACAAATGTCCACTTATTATTGACTGTGATATAAAACTTTAATACATGTTTGTAAATTTATTGATAAATACATTTAATACAGGTTTATATATTTATTGGTAAAAAATAATGAATGTATCTTCGCTGGTGCTGCTCAGCTGCAGTTTATACTGATATTTCTGTATATATATAATTTAATAATAATTGCTGAAGCTTTCATTACGGTATATGTCACACTTTATTTGTTATAAATGTATTATATGACAGAAACAGCAACTGAGTTGTGGAGCTCAACAAAACTTGACCGAGCAGAGCGCCGTCCTGGATCACCCTGCACAGCTCACCTCACCGATTTTTATTTATTATTATTTCTTCTTTTTTGATACCGATTTTATTTTTTATTTGCTTCAATAAAAAATATACAAAATCCAATTTTACACAAAAAAACGTAATGATAATAACAAATCAGGATAACTAATATAAACATAAAAAATTATATTAAAAGAGAAACAAAAGAGATTTTTTTTTATTAAACAGAGATAGGCTACATACATAACACAAATACAGCAAGAGGAAACAAGGACTTATGTATCTGTGATATTTCAAAAATGTTTATCATAATAATCCATGAATCTATCACTTTTCTTGTTATTAACTAGTCTAAGAGAATTAATAAAAACATCAATTTCAATTAAAAAATGTAAAAAAAATTGGGCTGCGAATTGGAGAATTTTTGTTTATGAATAAAATATTTTCCATACAAAAGAAAAAAGTTAATAATGTAGTTCTCTGATATATCAGTTTTACCTTCATAGTGACAAAAATATCTTGAATTTTTAAGCGTCTGAAAGAAGCAATGTAGCTCACTTCACCTATGATGACATAAATAGAACGCCGTTACGTCATAGGACAGAACAAGTTCAGAATTTTCTCAGAGTGACAAACGAACGAGTACAGTGAACAGTGATTAACGACTTTAGCGACTTGTTTTGCATCTCAAATGGCAAATAACATGTCAGCTGTGTTTTGTACTCGAGATAATTTGATTGAGCCTGTATTTGTCAACGATAATCATCAAAGTAACACGATGGCTTCTCCTACATCTTCTACCATGATGAGAAGCCCAACAGGTGAGATAAAAGTTTACAAAAACGCTGTATTCCCACGTATTGTTTAATAAAAAGTACAATAATAATAATAATATCGCCATATAAGGCGACTTACTGACTTAAAAGGCAAATACTCAACCTCTCATGTTTGTAATTGTTTAGTGTAGTTCTGATATTGTATATTTTCTGACTGTGATTTGAGCGCTGCTGATATTTTATGTACTGACATTCTGCCTTTTAAGTTTCTCATTTCCACTCAACAGAAATTGTGCCTTGTTAACTTTACTGATAAAAATAATTTTAATATTACTTTCATTTAAATCCTATGTGTAGACCTGCACAGTATTTTTCTTATTTTTGATAGTGTGTGGAGGAATATTTGTGATATTTTAGCAAACTGAGTGAGAATATTATATTTAAGTCTTCATTTGATCAATCGGGATGAATTATTAAAATTGAGGTAAAGTTGGTTTTGTATTCACACATTCTGACTTTCTCATTAATATTATAATAACAGAAAAATATAGAGCGAGAGAAATTGTTCTCTTTGAGTTTGACGATTGCTAATGGAAAGCTGAACAATGTTGATTTAGTTTTATTAGTTTTTTTTTTTTTTTGTGGTGGAGAAGTTGTGCTTGAGGAAGAATGTAGATGTAGATGTAGCACCCACTGACAAACAAATAAAAGGCCAAATGAATTTGATTAAACATTGTGATGGTGATTGTTAAATAGCTCAAACTATAACTGGTAAAACTCAGAATATTGACTCAAAATCAGTTCTTATAATAGTTTGCATTTTGTGTGAGCAGGAGTGAAATGTTTATTTTTGCTAAATAGTTGCTTTTAGGATTTTTCCTGATGTCTAATATGGACATATGACTTGACGACTATTTGTCAGCTTGTGTTTGTCATTTTACATCATAGAAATGATTTGCAATTCCACAAAATAAATTCAGTTTTCAAACATTTTCTATTATAATTGTACATTTATTATTGTTGTTTCTTTTGTGTGATTGTCTTTTATATGTCTAATTTACAGCAGTTTGTCTATTTTAAACCTGTGGTAAAAGAGTTTTCTAATATTTTCCTGTTCATTTCCTTTATTTTAGAAAACCCAGAGAAAAAGAGGAAAGGGAATAAAGTCTCTGCTTTCTTTAAGAGAGCATGGAAGGCTGTAAAGCGCCCTTTCCTTTGCGGTGACTGGAACAGAGTGGCTCCCTTTGAACCACAGTCGGATGTCGATGATTTTGAGCATCTGCCTGTTCCAGGTCCTTTCAGGACCGTCGCAGCACATGCAGACCTTGAGCCGGTGTGGCTGCCAGGCCAGGTCTGTGAAGATCCTCAGCCGTTGAGTGTTCCGGGCCCCTTCAGCATCAAGCAAACAGCAGATGTGCCGAATGCAGAACCGGCCCGTCCTGAGTCCTCGACGGTCCTCACAGGTCATGTTGACCCTGAGCAGATGCATCTGCCAGTCCAGGTCTGTGAAGATCCTCAGCCGTTGAGTGTTCCGTGCCCCTTCAGCATCAAGCAAACAGCAGATGTGCCGAATGCAGAACCGGCCCGTCCTGAGTCCTCAACGGCCCTAACAGATCATGTTGACCCTGAGCAGATGTGTCCGCCAGTCCAGGTCTGTGACCGCCTCGAGTCGTTGGCTGTTGAAGGACCATCCAGAATCAAGTCAACGATCATCGAAGATCATGTTGACCCTGAGCAGATGCTGCCAGGCCAGATCTTTGAAGATCCTCAGCCGTTGAGTGTTCCGGGCCCCTCCAGGATCAAGCAAACAGCAGATCCGGCCCATCCTGAGTCACCAACGGCCCTGACCGGTCATGTTGATACTGAGCTAGTGTGTCTGCCAGGCCAGATCTGGGAAGATCCTCAGCCAATCAGTGTCCATGGCCTCACCAATATTAAGAAAACGACGGATGCAGATTCGGCCTGTCCTGAGTCGCCTCCGTCTGTTCAACACCCCTCTAAAATTGATGGGACTGATGGTGAGTCATCCTGAATTTGGTTCATCTGTTATTTTTATGCTTTGTTGTTTTTAGCTTGTAAATCAGACAGTGTCATTTGTTGTGCTGTTAATTGTGTATTAATTGCTAGCTGCAGCTCTGTTCATGAAGATGTTTCTGTTTGTTTTCTTCATTTTAGAAAAACCCAAGAAAGGAAGGAAAGGGAAAAGAGTCTCTGCTTTCTTTAAGAGAGTATGGAAGGCTGTAACGCGCCCTTTCCTGTGCTGTGACACAGATATAGTCCAGCATTTTACGCCACAACCAGAGCTAAAGGAAGCTAACAAGGCTTCTGGACCTCCTCGTGGTAAGTCATCATTTCCATCTATTTTCTGTAAATCATATTATTATTAATTAGTAATCAATTTACTCCTGCATTTCTGATAGAAGTTACTGCTTTCAGCTTATTGCATTAAATCCAGATTCAAAAGCTAGGAGTGATTTATTTGATCCGTTTCATACCAGACAATCCAAGTAAATCTCCCTGCTTGTTTTCTGTGTTTTTCAGGATTAGATCTGTCTGATTTTAAAGTAGGAGCCTTGATTGGAGAAGGAGGTTTTGGCCAGGTGTTTGTGGCATCTTACAAGCATCGTAAAAGAGTAAAGGTAGAGAATTATTTTTTTAATTCAATCAACATTTTCCTCCTGATTATTGAATATATTAAATTAGTTTGCTTTAATTTAATTTGTTGTTTTTTCTCTGCAGGTTGCCCTGAAGTTTATCAACAAGGATGAAGACGACCGCTATCTCGACATTGTAAGTTGAAAAATTCACACAACAGTGAAAATGTGCTGACCATTTACTCGTCCTTCACTTGTCCCATCCCTGTCTGGACCATTTTAAACTGAGCTCAAAAGCAGATATATTGGAAACAGGGAGCCACTGACTTCCATTGTAGAAACAGAAAATACTTTTAAAGTCACTGCTTACTGGTTTTCAACATTAAATATCTTCTTTTGTGTTCAGCAGAAGAAATAAACCCAGAGATTAGTTTTGAACACATGAATGTAGGGCTGTGGAGTTAATGAAAATTCATTTAACATTTATGCAGATAAAAATGATCATTGCGTCATATCCTGGCCCCTTGTAAAGCAGTCTGCATATTTTATTTTATTTCTACACACAGCTCAGTTTCACTTGGACATCAGTGAAATCATGTAGCGTGACTTTTGCAGCATGGGATGTGCTTGATTTATTAGAGTGTAGATGATTCATTCATGTCTTCAATAGTGCTGAGGAGAGCTTATGCTGTTGTGTGCATGTGCTCAGCCACAGAGACGGACAAAACACACACATGTAGAGCCCTCTTTTAGCTTAAACTGCATGATTAAATGTTCAAATACAAGCAAACCTGTCGAAACATGGAGCTTAGTGATTATTTACTTAGTGAAGATTTTGTTGCTGTACTTTTGTGCCATTCTGCTCTGGTAATATCTTTGAAATCTGTTTTTCTTTCTAGGATGGTCATTCCACACCTGTGCTCGCGGAAGTGGCAGTGATGCTTAAGTTGGCGAATGCTCCGCAATGTCCAAACATCATCGGATTACACGACTGGGTTGAGAATGAGAACAACTTCATTCTCAGTCTGGAGTACGCAGAGTCATACCAGACCTTGGAACAGTACATCAATGAAACATTTGACGTTGGTGAAAAGCGAGCACGCCGGTTAATGCGTCAGTTGATCCAAGCTGTAAAGTTCTGCACTGAGCGTGGAGTTTTCCATGGAGATATACACACGCAGAACATCCTGGTGTCGAAATCCCGATTACAGCTCAAATTAATCGACTTTGGTTGTGCTTGGCCAATTACCAGCGAGCCTTTCGACAGCGATGATTATCAAGGTGAGGTGGCATTTTGTGTTAGATTCTTTGCTCACAGTATTGTCTTATGAAATGACTGAATTCTGAAAATGTCTCTCTTACAGGAGCTGCTATATGCACGCCACCTGAGGTTTTCACGCTCCCCATATTCTATGCTGACCCAGTAAACGTCTGGACAATTGGCATCGTGCTGTATGAAATCTTGCATGCATATATGCCCTTTACTGACGAACGTTCAATAATGTTTGAATCCGCTGAGATACGCCCCAGGTTCTCTACAGGTAATCAAGACATCTCTGATAAATCTCAGCCTCAGTGACAGAATAAAATATGTCAGTCATGAGTAAAAAAGGATTAAATATAATGGTTACTGTAGATATTACAGTTATTTCATTGTGGATGTTTTGTAATTTGATGTAGGAAGATTTAAACACGTTCATGGATCTTGAGTATGCAGACATATTTCACACTCTGTGTCACTTTTCAGAATGCCAGGACCTGATTTCCCAGTGTTTCATCCGTAATCCAGTTAACCGGCTAAGGTTACATCAGGTAGAAGAGCACGAGTGGTTCAATCCTGCGCAGCAGTTAAACAAGAGGAGGTAGAGGAACACACCGAGCACAAAACTACATCTTCATTCTTTCTTTGCTTCATGCTATTCCTGTTGTTTTCTCTTCTGCTTTTTTTAGAGTCACAAGTCTTATTTGACAGCCCTTCATATCACTGCTTAAATAACTTTGTGTTGTTTCTGCTTGTTTTTCTTCATTTTAGAAAAAAACTAAAGATCCCAAGAAGAGGAAAGCATCATTAAAGTCACTAAACTAGCATTATCGGTTATTAATTACTCCCTCATGTCATTCCAAACCCCTAAGATCTTACTTTTCTTCAGTGTCAGTTCATGACGTGTGTTGATGAGAGCTCTGTCCTGCACTGTGTGTGTGTCGCACTGCTGACGTTTACCTCAGATGTGCCCACGCTTTGTTTAAATGAGAGGAAGTCGCGCAGGCCTCTGGGTTATCCGTCAGCAGTGCGACACACATCCAGTGCAGTACAGGACTTCTGAAGTCATTATTTTTGTTTTATTTTTGTGTTTTTCTTTCTGCATAAAGAAGTTTCGTTTAAAAATGACAGCTGTAGCTCCAAACCCCTGACACCTTTCCTCATCTTCAGAAAACAAATGAAAATATTTGAGATGAAATCAAATCATCAAACCATGAGAGCTCTGTCCTGCACTGTATGTGTGTCCACTGCTGACGTTTACCTCAGATGTGCCCACGCTTTGTTTAAATGAGAGGAAGTCGCGCAGGCCTCTGGGTTAAACGTCAGCAGTGCGACGCTCTTCTGAACGTGCGGTTTGAGGGTCAGAGAGCTCTCAGATTTCATCTCAAATGTTTTAATTTGTGTTCTCAATATGAACTAAACATGAATATGAACTAAGGACATGAGGTGAGTAACTAATGACAATAATGGTAATGAATGGTGCCTAGACCGCAGCTCTGCACAAGACCTTTGGCCACAGGAGAAATGGTCGTGCCCAACCGAGCCTGGTTTCTCTCGAGGTTTTTTTCCTTCACTTTTGTCAATTGGTGAAGTTTTGTTCCTCGCCACTGTTGCCGCTGGCTTGCTTGGTTGGGACTTGTGGAGCTGCGCATCGATGGATTTGCTCTTCAGTGTTTGGACTTTCAGCAGTGACAATTAAACCACACTGAACTGAACTGAACTTCAACTGTGAAAACTTGACCGACACAGTTTCAATTTACTTCTACGTTAAGCTGCTTTGAAATGAAGATGAATTGAACTGAATTAATGATGAAACTCTATCAGGAAAACCAGTGCTGTCACAGTTTTCTCCTCTAAAGTGTCATCAAAGATCTGCTCAACTATTTTCTACCTCATTAATGAATCTGGTGTTCTGTCGTAAGAGAGACTGATTGTTTTATAATTAAGTGTTCATGATTGTTTTGTAATGAATTGTTCTTTGAATTGTTTTGTGATGAACTGCTTTTATATATTGTTAATAAGTCAAATAAAATCCTGTGAATCAAACTGAAGCTCTGATCATCATTTCTGTGAGTTTTCTAAATGACTCCTTACTCAATTAATGAGAGAGTTCTCCCTAAACTATTTACTCAAGTGCTTCCAAACCGATGAGGTTCTTTCCTCTGTTGAACACTGAAGAAGATACAAATCTGAAAATCTGTAACCATTGATGTCCATAGTAGGAAAACAAATACAATGGAAGTTGATAGGGTATATGCCGAAGCATGCTAATAGGACTTAGGATTTGTCAGTAACCTGGGTTATTTGCTTCCGGTCAACTGTATGTCAATGAAAAAATCTGCACATTTAAGGTCAGTTCTTTTTAAAAATCAGCGATCTCCACTGGCTGAGCGATATCCGATATAAAGTGGGTCTCAGATTGTACAAGAAGCACTGGATTAAATTACATTTCCCCTGCCATGTTTTTATAATATGAGCATTTATTCCCCAAAGTATATTCAATGGAGCTGCGCTAGCCTGCCGATTCTGACGGGCGTGCATGAGTAAAAAGCTTTTTGTCTCGTTTTATGCTTGAGCAACTAAATAAATGCTAAAGTTTATTTTTTGTCAAATAAGTTTTTTTGTTTGGTTGTTGAATAAACTTACAATAATCACAGGATTAGCTTTCTGATATGCATACATTTCCAAAAAAAAAAAAAAAAAAAAAAAACACCCCAAGCCCAGCCTGTAAGTATACACTACAGTGATAATCAAAACAACTTTTAGTTACAATACATTGCTTTGGGGGGAAGAATTCCCCATGAAGCAATAAAAGAAAGGGCGCCAAATTTGCTGAAATTGTCCAATATTGCCTTTTAAAATAAATCTTGTTCGTTCCAGGTGCAGAGTAGATATCAATTCTTCAAGCCATAGTTTGGCAGTTGGAGGATTTAAATTTTTCCAATACAACAATAGCAGCTTTTTGGCTGTAATCAAACAATATGCAAGGAATTTCTGTTGTGGACAGCTCAATGCATATGTATAATCAGAATGTCCTAATATAATAAGCATTGGGTCAGGATCTATATGTTGATCAAGAACATCTGAAAGCACTTTAAAGACCTCATTCCAGAATCCCTGTATTTTATGACAGAATACAAAACTATGAGCTAAATCAGCTTCCTCTGATTTGCACTTATCACAAATGGGAGATATGTTGGGGAAAATCCTAAGTAATTTCTTTTTGGAGAAATATAGCCTATGTAAGACCTTGAACTGGATGAGGCATAATCTAGTGTTGATTGATTGTTTATCAATGTCCTCTAAGCTATTCTGCCAAATCTCTTCTGAAATTTTGATGCCAAACTCTCGTTCCCATTCTTCTCTGATCATCTTTGTAGTGGGGGCATTAGCTGCAAATAACCTTTCATAAATTAGAGATAATTGATGTTTTTGTCCCCTGCACTGTGTGAGACAATCATCAGCAATTGAGGGCGGGACCTCCTCTAGGGAAACATTATGTGTGCGCAGGTAATTTCTTATTTGTAAAAATCTGAAAAAATGTATTTTTGGAAGGTTATATTTCTGTTGTAATTGAGTAATTCTATGACTTTTGTAGTTCCACAGAAACGGAAGAATAATGGAGTCCCAGTGCTTAAAGAAGGACTTGGATAATAGTATTGGAATATTACGAAATAAATATAATATTTGAGGAAGAAAAATCATTTTTATCGCATTTATTCTGCCAATTAAAGAGATTGGGAGCGTCTTCCAATAGTCTATACACTTCTGTAGTTTAGACAATAAGGGGTTAAAATTAGCTTTGAAGAGTAGAGAGTATTTACAAGTAACTACAATTCCAAGGTATACAATTTTTTTCTGTGGACACCTTAAATGGAGAAGCATGTATTATAGATAGGTCTTTTAAACCAATGGGCATAAGTTCACTTTTTTCTAAATTAACTTTAAAGCCAGAAAACTTCCCAAAAGTATTAATAATCTTGAGTACAGCTGGGAGACTCACTTGTGGTTGGGTGATATAAAGCAAAATATCATCTGCATACAATGTTATTTTATTAATAGTATTTGAAGTATGAAAGCCATGTATGCAAGAATTGGATCGAATGGCTTCTGCAAGAGGCTCTACCATCAATGCGAACAAAAGAGGCGAGAGAGGGCAACCCTGTCTGGTTCCTCTTTTAAGATAAAAAGAGTCTGAAATTGTTCTATTTGTTAAAACACATGCTAATGGACTATTGTACAAAATTTTTATCCAAGTTATAAAATCATCACCCAAATCAAATTTCTCCAGGACAGCGAACAAGTAACCCCACTCGACTCGGTCGAATGCCTTTTCGGCATCTAATGATATTACAATCAAATTGTCTCGGATTGCCTTAGGGTGATAAATTATGTTAAATAATCTTCTTATATTATGGATAGTGCTTCTTCCTGGAATAAATCCATTCTGATCTACGTTAACCAATTTATTGATAAATTTACAGAGCCTATTAGCGAGTGTTTTAGACAATATTTTTTGATCAACATTGAGGAGAGAGATAGGTCTATACGCCTCAACTTCTTCTGGATTTTTATCTTTTTTAGGAATTACTGTAATAATAGCCTCAGAGAAAGTTGGAGGTAGTCCAGTTTTTAATGCCTGTTGAAAGGTTTTAAGCAAATATGGAGTAAGTATGTGGCCGAATTTTTTATATAGTTCAGCAGGCAGCCCATCTGGACCAGGAGTTTTACAGTTTTTTAAAGTATTTATAGTGATCTTTAATTCCTCCAAAGTAATGTTTTTTATTAAGACATGCTTTGTCCTCTGGAGATAACTTGGGGAGATTACATTTATAAAGAAATAAGTCCATTGTTTGTGAGTCAAACTCAGTGTCTGAGGAGTATAACTTTGAGTAAAATTCCTTAAAACATTTGTTTATCTCTTTATTTGCGATACAGTGAGTCCCATGTTTGGTTTTTATTTTATGGATTGTTCTTTCACTATCAATTTTGCGCAACTGTCTAGCTAGTAATTTATGGGGTTTCTCTCCAAATTCAAAATATTTCTGTTTTACATAATGAAAAGTTCTATAAATTTTAGCAGAGACTATATTATTGTATTCATACCTTAACTGTAAAATTTTCTTGTAAACATCTAAAGAGGGGTTTATTGCATTTTCAATGTCTAGCTGGTGGATTTGTTTTTCTAAATCACTTAGTTTTGTTTTGTATAGTTTATTCTTGGACCCTTGATATGACAAAACACAACCTCTTATAAACGCTTTTAACGTTTCCCAGAGTAATGCTGGTGATGGCTTATCGTTACAATCAAAAAATATGTTTAGTTGCAAATTCATATAATCTATGAATTTAGGATCAGCTGTTAACTGAGGGTCCATCCTCCACAATGGACGAGTAAAAGATGTTTGATCAAGAATGACTTCAAATGAAACAGGGGCGTGGTCTGAAATCAGTATGTCATGAATTTTAGAGTTTAAAACATTAGAAATGAGATTGCTGTCTACTAAAAAAAAATCAATACGGGTATATACATTATGCACATGTGAGTGAAATGTATAATCCCTTTCAGTTGGGTACATAAGTCTCCATATGTCAACCAAATTAGAATTATCCATAAAAGCATTCAAAAAATGTCATGAATTAGAATGTGGGGCAATTTTAATCGAGGATCTATCAAGATATCCGTCAAGGACACAATAAAAGTCCCCGCCTATGACAAGATTGGTTTGGGACAGTTTGGGGATTAAAGAGAATATTTTTCTAAAAAATTCTGGTTCGTCATGGTTTGGACCGTACAAATTTATTAACGTAATTGATAAGCCACAGATCTCACCAGATAGAATGATGTAGCGTCCTTCCCTGTCTGTTTCCAGGTTGTTTAGTTTAAATGGAACCCCTTTTCTAAATAAAATAGCAACCCCCCTAGATTTAACTGAAAAATCGGATTGATATATCTGTCCTATCCAGCTACCCTTCAGTTTATTTTTGGAATTTTTTTTTTAGATAAGTTTCCTGCAAAAATATTATATCTGAGGAAAGAGAATTTAAATGCGCTATTGTTTTGCTTCTCTTAACCGGATGATTTAATCCTTTTACATTCCACGAGACAAATTTGAGACCCTTCCTATTACATTTAGTTGTTATTTTTTCTTGATTTAAAAAAGATCAAATCAATAATCTTCACTGTTCGTTTACTATAAGGTATCTTAAACAGGCTCCTTTCCCGAAACTTAAACATTAACCCCGTCATCTAACCGACAAACCAGAACTCGCGGCACGATACGGAATTACACACGAAAAAAAATAAATTAAATAAAATAAAATAAACAATAAACATTAGTCAAAAACAGACAAACAATTACTTTCAAAATTATCAAACCTTAAACTTCCAAAAACAAACTCGCATCAGCAGCACAGCTCCGTAATAAAGAGTTTTGAAGAACATCTCAATATAACATAACGAAACAAGAGTCCTTTAGAGAATAATGCTCAAAATTAAAGTTCAACAGTTACGTTATTCTTATCTTGACTTATCTTGAGTCTGACATCCTTTACACTGTTCCTGGTATTTCAAAGTTGCTTTCAGCAAACCTAACCACTTTGTCTGGGTCGGTAAAGTAGAACTCTTTGTCGTTGTGTGATACCCTCAGTTGTTTAGGGTATTGCAGTCCGTATTTCACTCCTGGTTTATCCTTCAGCAACTCCCTCGTGCGCG